ACATTTGATATGTTGTTTATCCATCGGATTGAACTTCTCTGTGTTTACTTTTTTTGTTCTTTTGTCCATTTGGAGGTCAGATATAGCAAGATTGGCTCAGAATGTGAAAGTGCGACAAAGGTATTGATTTGATGTTATTGATGTTGCATTTACAGATTAACCAACAGATGATACTATATGATATCATGAGATTCAAAATACAAAGTTTAGGTGCTTGATGTGTGATAATCAGAAAATTAAGGCAGAAGCAGAAATTCAAACTGGGTTTTGGAGTTTTTTTCAGCCAAGATTGGCCTTAACACCATTATTACTAAAATATCAATATGCACCAAGTTGTTTCAAAACATTTGGTGAAGTGCTCATACAGTATATATAGAAGTAAATGAGCAAAAAGTTTGAATAAAGTCTTAACTTTGCAGTTCCCAACAGTAGCGATTACTTAACCATTGATTAACTTCTTAGGGTCGTTGCAACTGCCATTACATATATGAGACGCGTTTATGCCAGGTATGATTAATCTTTGCTTCATTTTCAAAACCTTGAGTTTTCCAGTTTCGATAATATTGCTAGGGAGATAGAATAGAATTATGTGTAGTTATGCTGCTTTGGGATGCTTGAAATTGACATGAGAAATTGATTTTTTTTTTGTCCTTTTTGTGATTAAATATTTTTCACAATCCCATTTCTATAATTTTATTTTTCCTTCCTCATGGCAAGCTATTAATTGTGAATATTGTCAAGCCCATCCTACTTGGTGGTGCTGTCAAGGTCAATCATTCAAATGATGTTCCTAGATTTTAGTCATTTTATACTTATTGGTACGTAATTCGCCTTCCATCCAAAACTTTTTTCATTTATATTTTTCATTTATTAATTTATTCAAGGAGAAGTATGACCCAATATGATCCTCGTCTCGTTGCTCCAACATGCTTGTACTTGGCATCAAAAGCTGAAGAAAGCACGGTCCAGGCCAGACTTCTTGTATTTTATATCAAGAAATTATGTAAGTATTAAATCACTATTACTTTATTATAATATAAGCTCAAATGTGTCTTTTTGTTCAATTATTTTCTCCCACGTATGATATGTTGCAATGGCTACCCCCTTTGCTTATTCAGATTCAGATGAGAAGTATAGATATGAAATAAAAGAGATACTTGAGATGGAAATGAAAATTTTGGAAGCCCTCGACTATTATTTGGTTGTATTCCATCCTTATCGGGCTCTAACTCAGTAAGTGTATAACTGAATATTCATATAAAACTCACGAGCTTCCGTTTTATGCTGCCTAAATTGATTTGTGCTTGAGTGGCCCATTTTCTTTTCTTTCTAACAAATTGTAAAGGTATTTGTAGAAATTTCTAGCATGACAATTCATATTTTACTAAATAAATAATATTTAGCAACTTTTACATTTTTAAATTAGAAAATTCATATTTCAATAAAAGCAAACGTTTATCACGCAATGTGGGATCAGCCAAATGGATTATAATGAAATTCAGTTCCCACTTTTTCATTGGAGTCGGTTAAGTGTTCCTGAAGACTACGATGGGGTCCTACATCGTAAAGAAATTTATGTCAATCTTCGCCCAAAATCTTGCTATTCAACTTGTCTGCCTGAATCTTTTAGTATTCTTTCAGAAGTTAGAGATCTCTTTAGAAAACTGAAATATCTTGTATATTTTATCCTTCATGCAACTCTGCAATTTTTTAGGTTGCTTCAGGATGCTGGCATGAGTGACGCAGCACAAATGACGTGGTAGAAATCCTTTCTTTTCTTGTTTGTTGTTCATTGTTTAAGAAATAGAATATAATTCCTTTTCACTGGTATGAATCTGAATAAGAATAGATATCTAGGCTTTTAGTGTATGATACCTCTCATGGATATCAATAAGCATGATCATCTATTCTTTTTGGCTCTTCTCATGCACCGGAGGTTTGAAAGCTGCCCAAGCCTCAAGTTTTTTCCTCATAGGAAATTTTGGATTTTCCAACACAAATTTCTTGTAAAAGATAAATTTGAGATGAAAATGATGATTCATGCATTGAGTCAATTCTTTCTTGATCTTCACAGTGAAATCGAGCCCAATCTTTCAAATTTGGTTATGGAGAAGTGGAAACTAAAAGACTTATTTTTCACATATTTTTTCTGTTGCATTCAATCTAGTAGACATTGTATTATGATGGAAGCTTATTTCGAATGTTATGCTGTAGGGGACTTGTTAATGACACATACAAAATGGATTTGATTCTTATACATCCTCCGCACTTGATTGCATTAGCATGCATATATATAGCAAGTGTCCAAAAGGATAAAGAAAACACGGCCTGGTTTGAAGAGCTTCGGGTTGATATGAATGTGGTGAGTTCTTTTAAACTAAATCTTTCAGCATGGAAAATTTTATCGTAGAGTCTGATGTTTTACTGTTAGCAAATTCCTTGGAAATATTGTTTATGATGGCATCATTTGTAAAAGTAGAATCTTTGCAATAGTTACACACCTTTCGCACAACGTACAACAGATATTAAGACCTATTATATTAATCTTTCAGCCAAGGGAGAAATGAAATAATTTTGCAATTAGATGTTTTAATTTGTCTGTTTTTACAGAGACTTGTATAAGTACAGATTAAGAAATTATAATTAAACTTTTTAGAAAATAAGAATGAATGGTTTACTTTTGATTTTAAAATATTTCTTAAAAATTTACATTATTATGAAAAGTAACATCCATCACAATCAGTTAAAAGGTGGATATAAATATCATTTTATTTTATGTATCTATATATAAATTATATATAAGGAGGAGCAACATAGCATTTAATTATATTATCATGCATTAAATTTTATTATCCCTCCAAAATTTTCAACATTCAATTTCATTTTTAAGTTACAAAATAACTTGCTTGAATGCCATAAATTATGAGCATAAACCAATCAAAGGAGTTACAAAATTGTACTCAAAATTTAAGTCACACCCATTCATGAAAATGGCCGGATGTATTAGCATAAAGAAAATGCTTGTAACGGCTCTTCCATAGCAATTACTTAATCAAAATCAATTTTGAGAATTATTTTCTTAATTCATATTTTTTTCATGAATTAAATTATGATTTATTTTTGTTTTTTTTTATGTTGTTATTTTTTTAAAGTATTCTTCTCTTTGCATTTGCACAGGTTGATTACTAGTGCATTATGAATGTCAAATCAAAATTATTCATATAGTAACGTGATTGAAAAAGTGACAATAAATGTAAGAGTTAGTAACTTTTAAAATATAATTATAATTTATGTTAGTAAAGTGTTCCATAATCTTAAAAGTCCTATAACAGACATGGATAAGAGTTCAGGCCTACATGGATTACTCTAAAGTAGCACAAATTGACACATAAGATTACGAAGCACCAGAAATTGAGACATAGGATTACAAAGTATCCAAAATTGTCACGTAGAATTAAGAAGCACTATAAGTTGATACCTAGTCTCGAAAAACTCTACATTTATATATAGGAAGATTACCTCTAAGGTTTTGAGAAATGAAAATATTCTATTATCTTTCAAAAATACAAGTATCTTCTTTACTATTGTTTGTCTTGTACAAATTGAGACAGAAAAGGCATATGTTTGGTAGAAGCGAAGTTCAAGTGGTTAACTTAATTGTAATTTTTAAACATAACTCAAGTTGATGTAATTAGGCTAAACTTTAGAGGTAGTGATGTCATTATTCTTTTCCTTTTAGATAAAATTTTATTATTATCGAATATGTGCATGTTTTTGGACCTTTAGCATAATTGAGTGCATCATCAGAACACATAACAGTTTCACAATTTTTGGGGCAGGTAAAAAACATTGCAATGGAGATATTAGATTTCTACGACAGCCACAAGCAAATAGCAGACGAAAAACTTAATGCGGCCATGAACAAGTTACCCAGATGATTAAGAGAGGGAAAAAAAAAGTTAGCGAGATTATATTACCCACCCATCTGTTTATCTGCAAATTTTGAGTTTTCCGACTTGCAATATACTTCGGGGGTAAAATAAAGACGTTGGGACAAGAATTTTCATTTTTGTTAGATCGAACAATGTAAGGATGTTTTAGGTTTTCTGTCATTGTGTTGTTTATTTTGGCTTTGCACTTTGAACGTGTTTTCTAACTGGCTATACTTTGTAAATAAGTTCCATGTTCTTACCTGGCTGTAAATTTTGATGAGTTTACCTTGGATGAGAATTTTTGGGAGATTTGGTATGTTATAACTTAATAAGATCAAGACCTTCAGTATTTCATACGAAGACACTCTTTGAAACCTTAAGAACATTTTTAATTATAAGGCTTGAAAAGATCCACTGTCGGTTCTCTACCAGAGGACAACTAACAGAGATTAAAATTTTATTTTTATTTTTTTTTTAAAATGGCATTCCTCGTTTTATCTTGCAATATTTTTTCTAATTTATATCATATAATAATAGACTTGATAAATATTTTTTTACTTAATAACTTTATTACTAGTACAATACCTGTATACTACATAGGTACTTAGATATATTAATATGTACACTACATATTATATTTTTATGGTGAAATTACTAGTGCGTGGCTCGTGCGATGCACGGAAAAACAATATTAAGATTGTAATAAACTAAATATAAAATAACATTAATCATGATTTATCCATTATTTTTAAATTAAACCGTGTTGGACACAGTCCGACCGGATGGACTGAGAACCGGTTTGTAACCAGTCTAGTTTACTTGAATAAAATATTTGCTCTCAAATCCCTCAACACCAGTCGGTTGGACTGGTAGGATCGATACGATTTTCTAAATAAATTTTGTTATATTTAAAATTATTTTAAATAAAACTACATATTTAAATAAAATAGAGATTTATAAATTATTTATCAATTTGTTTAAACACTTGAATTTATAAATTGTTTAGATATCTAAGTAACACATTTTATTTAAATTTATTACAAAAGATACTATATATAGCTTGATTGTTTGAAAACCTTATATTTACTATACATTAATAAATATTATAATAAAATATTATTTAATTCACATAAATATTAATAAAATGATATATAAATATTCATAAATCAACATGTTGTCATAAAAGTATTGTTAATACAATTATTTGAAGTTTTGACTACATCACATTCACGTAATAAAATATTTTCAATATAAAATTTATATTTAGGTTCAATAATCGATTTGGTGTGGTCGAACTGATACATAACTTAATCACTTGGGACCAACCAAGTTGTGTCAAGTTTTTTGACTATTTTAAATATCACATAAAAGTAATTCAATTAACCTGGACAATGCCATAATTCAATCACCCGATTGATCCGAAGAAATTTTCTTATTTTCTTTAAATATATTTAATTTTATGAAATAAAAATATATTATGATTCATATAATAAATGTCTACACCAAATGATAGTATATTAAGATCATAAATTATATATCTAAAGTTGAATTAATTATTTTTACTTTATGCATATTATAAAAAATAAGCATAGTAATTTTTAAAAAATTAAGATTAATTGATTGATTATGCAATTTAAAGAATATTTTTAGCGTTCATTTTTTTTTAAAGGGCACTGTTGATGTCGAAAATCGGACGATCAACCGTCAAATGTAATACGAATTGCTTGTATAAAAATGAAGAACAAAATTGATGAAAATGGGTGTTTATTTCTTGTGTTCTTGGGAAGATGTGAAAAAAGTGGAGAGAACTCATCCAACCGCCCCGTCTCTCTCTCTTTTCCTTGTATTGTGGGGAAGAAGCAAAAAATTGAGAAGAGGAAGAAGTCCCCTTTCTTTCCTCTTTTTTACATATATATACATGGCCCTATTTTACAAGTGGGCTAATTAAATAAGTAAAAATGGTACATTATTGTAGGGCCCATTTATGGCTTTTGACGATTCCGGTTGACGTTCATCTGAGGTGGCTTCTGACTGATCAGTTTCGAGAACCTGTCTGTATATTTATTTATTTCGCATGTCCGGCTCCTCGGTTGTCGGGCTGTATTTTATTATTTAATTTATTATTTAATTAATTGGAGCCAAATTGGGTATCAACAGGAGGCCCCCGAGTTTAGGGCATGTTCTGGATTGAACTGTTCTGAAGTCGCGTTAATTTTTTACAATTTGGCAATGTTTTCGCCTAATGATTCTTGAGCTTCGAGCTCTTTATTGTGTAGGCTTTTACTTTATGCGTCTCGAGGACTTATTTAATCTTTATCGAGTAACTTTGGTTACTTGGATCGTTGTTGTGTTGTTTTCGGGCTCTTTGGGACCCTTGCGCGTTTTTTTTTATCATTTCAAGCTTTGCCTGACGTACTTACGATAATCGCGCTTTAATCTTTGACGAATTGAGTCAGTTTGAGAGAATGGGCAATTTTGCAAATTTGCTATTGGATGGGACCTGAGCGGCCTGGTCGGGTAATTTGGTACCCGTTTTTATGCATGAATGCATTTTGAATTGTCGACATGAGTGAGCGTAGAGCTCTTGTCCGAGTGAGCGTTGAGCTCTTTGGTTGATTGAGCTTTGAGCTCTGTGTTTCTTACGAGGTGGTATGCATTATGCGGTCACATGTGGAATGAGCGAATGTATGGTAAATGTATGTGATGAATGTATGATGAATGTATGTGATGTATGTGATGAATGTATGATGGATGTATGTGATGAATGAGCGCACCTTGTCGCATATATAGTTGGTTCGAACTGCTTTTAGAGTTCGATTTCTAGTTTTAGGGCACTTCGGCCTCACGGCTCGTAGGCCTTTAGTTTTACGGCGTTTCGGCCTAATGGCGCGTAGGCCTTTAGTTTTTCGGCATTTCGGCCTTATGGCTCGTAGGCCTTTAGTTTTACGGCGTTTCGGCCTAATGGCGCGTAGCCTTTAGTTTTACGGCGTTTCGGCCTTATGGCGCGTAGCCTTTAGTTTTACGGCATTTCGGCCTTATGGCGCGTAGCCTTTAGTTTCACGGCATTTCGGCCTTATGGCGCGTAGCCTTTAGTTTTACGGTATTTCGGCCTTATGGCGCGTAGCCTTTAGTTTTACGGCATTTCGGCCTTATGGCGCGTAGCCTTTAGTTTTACGGCATTTCGGCCTTATGGCGCGTTACCTGTCCGACTTGCTCGTTGAATCGGGCGACGGTCTGGCCTTGCTGAGCTTCGCGTTTGGGCTCGTTATTCATTTCTTACGTTGGCGACTTTGGCCTTACCGGGCTACTTTGCCGAGCCCGGCTCGTGCCGGCCAGGCCATCGTACTGACCCGACCTGCACATAATTACGTGGCAGCTTACCTGGCCGGTCTCGCGTTCGGACTCGGTGGTATTATTGGCCTGACCGGGCTTCCTAGTTGAGCCCGGCTAGTGCCGACTAGGTCATCGTACTGATCCTAGCCGACACTTCGTTCCTTACGTTAATTACGCCGCTTCGACTCGATCTAAGCCTAAGACGACCTAGCCTCTAAAAGAAAAAGGTAAATTACATTCTTGACCTAGCTCATCGAATAATCTATACAATAACGTCACTCATTGAGTGAGACTAGCCTAGACCTATTGGTAGGACTTCTGCAGAAATGCCGGGTTTTATGGGTATTGATGGTCGCGTGCCGTCCAGGTGTTCAAGTCGGTAGGCCCCGTGTAGGGGGACGTCGTTGATTTGATATGAGAGTGGTTTGTCTTGGAATTTGGCGTATTTCACGTTTCGTCTGTCACGTGCGGCGATAATGACATCGGCCGGAGCAAGGGCTCTACGGCGGGCGATGTAACGACGTCAGCCCGACAGAGCAGGGGCTCGTCGCCGGACTGGATAATGACATCGGCCGGAGCAAGGGCTCTACGACGGGCGATGTAACGACGTCAGCCCGGCAGAGCAGGGGCTCGTCGCCAGACTGGATAATGACATCGGCCGGAGCAAGGGCTCTACG